ACCGGCCGCAAGTCTGTCGTCTGTGTGGCAGTCCCCTGGCGCGGACGCAGGGCCGGGTGATGGGCGGAGAGGACGCCCGGGGTCGCGGACACACACACACACACACACACAACAGTTCCTGGGGTCCCTCCTGCTGCTGCTACTGTGGGACGGTGGTGGCGGCAGGCAGGGTCCGCGTCGCGCCCTTGTGGACAGAGGCCTGTGGTTGGTTACTCATCCTGGTAAACCAAAGGCATTATGGTGATCTCAGAATATTTTTGGTCTCTCTACAAATTATCGTTATATGGCAGCACTTTTCTAAGCTGGAATCTCAAACCAAAGGCACTTCCATGCTAGAGCGCAGAAGATTCATAAATAGCTAAGTATTTGGTCGTGAATTTAAAAGGCAACTTTAAAAGTACAATTTGTTTCTCAGAGTAAACTACGAAGTTGGAAAACCTTCCGTTTTGGTATATACATTTGAGAGTGCGGTTGAAGAACCGCCTCGTGTTCAGTTTCCGATTTTAGACCGAGTGGTCAGTGTCCTATAGAACTGGAGAAAAAAAGGGCTTACGAAAGAGAAATGCGAACAATTTTTGCCTGTGTGGTTTCAAATACGGGGCCAATTTGTGAATGGATGCGGAGGGCTGGGGACGACTAGGTATCACTAAGGCACTGCTTACTGGAACGCTTTGGCAGCTCTGAATTTAAAACTCCCTAAAAAAAGGAACAGTAGTAAGAGAAATGCTTCCAGCTTACAAAAGGGCTCACAGTTCCGAGGCAGCCTTCGGCACTGCACACCCTACACACAATGTCTCAAAGATTTAAGGCTTTTCAGAAATGACACGTGCAGGGCTTTGCCACAGAAATGTCAACAGAAAGAAAGAAGCGATGCAGACATATGCTCTCGCTGTCACGGGTGTGAACGCCAACACACGGGATCGGTTCTACCCTTCGTGAGGACAGGTGTAGTGTACCAGACAGAGCATACACGAACTTAGACAGATCCTATGTACCTGGTTTGTAAGACTGACTGTCATCTCAGCCGGTTTAAATAATTTAAGGTTGTACAAAAAACAGACTGCTAAAGCCACTACAGTATCGAGACCTAGAGAAGACTTGGGTTAAAGTCACTTGGGGACTTTTAACACCAAGTGCTGGGAACAGGGGCTGCTTTTTGGCTGGTCTGAGTGTGGGACATGGCGGCTGGGTTGCGTAGCAGGTAAAAATTGGACTCGAGATTCTGTGGCAGGTGAATTGTCCTCAGGGTAAGTGAAAAGGCTCATCAGCTTTTGTATCTGCTTGTGGCTGCCTCGTGTAGCTCCAATCAGACCAGAGGCTCCATGGGGGAAGCGGCGTCAGCATCGGGTCGATGCCGTGCTCTGGCTGAGGAGGGGGAGGGTTCTTAGTCCCCCCCATCCTCCGCACTAAGCCTGTGCACATCTTCGTAGGGATCACTGAGGCATGAGCACCGAAGAGGAACCACCTTCACTGGAAGAGGCCAAGGATTAAGTGGCGAGGTCCCAGAGCCGCACCCTGATTCCATCACTAACCAGCTGGGTGACTCTGGGCAAGTCACCTCCCCTCTGGGTCTCAACTTTCTCATCTGCTAAATGAAGGAGAGAGTAGGTTGTGCTCTCTTTTAGCTCAGTAAGCAAAAAAAATCTATCACCCCCTGCTTCCAGAACTGGTCCCTCTCTCCTCCAACCTTAAAGATGCAGTGTTCCAAAGGCTTCCATAAATTCTAAAAACAGCACTGAGTGTAGGGCAGAAAGCAGAAGACCAGAGGAAGCTTACCGAAATGAGGAAAGCTTCAATTGTGAGACCCAGAGAATAATGAACACAGCTGGGATGTCTTTTAAAGCTGGTAAACTGAGGAATGAAGATCAGATCACAGATGCACCTTACAGAGGTTCGAGCTGATCATGGGGATGGGGGTGACCTGTAATTCCCAACATCCCCAATGATGAATGAAGGAAGCCTCTGTAGCAAGACAGACTCTGCCGTGGGAGATGCCCTGAAGGGGAAGAGACCTGGACGTAATGTCATTTGAGGAACCTTCCTACCTGCCTCTTCATGACCTGAAACAAAGCTCCTGGGACAGCAGCTTTCTCAGGGTGAGATTAGAAGGGAAAAAGAAGATCTCCAATATGGTATTTGTGACCTGTAGGATCTAGGGCAGGGGTTCTCCACTGAGGGTCATACTGGGCTCCACAGAACATGTGGCAATGTCTGGAGATACTCTGGGTCGTGGCGATGGCAGGGAGAGCATGGGGAAGGCCAGGGACATGGTGCAGGACAAAGAACTGTTCTCAACTTGCCAACAGTATCAAGGCTGAGAGTCCCTGACTGAAGAGTAACACAGACCTTCTGGGATTCTGGAACCTGTTCTGGAGAAGTCCTGACCATCATTTTAAGGCTCTTACTAAGATGGAAACGAATGCCCACAGACCAGAGTCCAGTTTTTTAGCTCCCTCCTGGGTTGGCTGTGAGAGATGGGCCTCCATGATCCCCAGGAAAGTATGAGATGCCCCTGACTCAAGGCTGGTGATGCAGGGTCGCCAGGAGACCTGGTACCCAAAAGCTGTAAGGACAGGGGCCTGGAAAGGCTTTTTTATGGTTGGGGAAGCTTGCCAGCTCAAGGGAGAAGACTACGACAAAGGATGAAAGACTACAGACAGACTTGCATTAGGCACCGCCACAGAAACCCCACTCCAGCACCTAACTTGGCAGATACAGAGATGGCCAAGGGTTTGGGTAACTGGATCCATGGTTAAGATAGGGAAAATATCTGCCCTAGAGAAAGTTTTAGAACAAGATGAGAAGAAAAATTTTAAGGCTCCTAGAAATGTTTTTAAGAGCAAAAAGCTATCCTCCAGGTTGTTCATGCAAATGCCCCAAACTCTGCTCCGAAGGCATCTGGGGGAGGAGGGCACAGCCTGCCTCCATGAGCTCAGCAGGCCGGGGTGTGCCCTTCCCTCAGCCAGCAGAACCACCCTCCAGCTGCTCTTCTGGGGTCTATTTGTGCTTTGAAAAGTAAATCCCAAAAGGCCTCCTGGCAGACAGAAGAGCCCCATTCCTGTGTGGGAATGGGAATCAGATACTCCTCTCGCTGAAGTTCTGGGCTGGCTCTGGACATAGAAGATCCTTTACACCCCCTTCATAGGGTCCTGGCCCTGGGAGAGTGGGGTTTCCACTGAGGAAAGATGTGGGAGACAGAAGCAAAAGGAACATTCCTAGGAGGGCTGCCCAAGAGAAGTCATTAAGTATGATGACTACGGCAGAAGCTTCGGTGCCTGCACGGAAGGCCAGATGAAAGGGCAGACCACTAGGGCAATCCTTCAAAGGCCCCTTAGAATCAGAGAATAAATGGTAGTTTTTTCACGGAGGGAAGACAGACATCAGCCTACTGGTTTATATGAGAGGTGTGCGTTCCAAATGGGAGAAGTTTTGCACTTTTTTCACTGGTCTTCCCAGGAACCGGTGGCATGAGTCTCGGAGAGACTTGGTCCAGTAGCTTGTTGGCCACAAGCCAGCCACAGCAGACCCTCTAACCAATATCCAAGCAGGATCAGAGCAGGTGGAGGGACAGGGAAACGGATAAGTTACTAGGATGTGAAAGAACAAGGTATTTCTTTTCTGGCTTGATGAAAAAGCCACGACAGGTTTTACAACTTAAAAAACTTATTTCACATTCTATTGTGTGAAATCTATTCCTGGCGATTATAAGAATGTCACTTTCCTCTGGGAAGCTGGGGAGTGTAACCCTGTCTCCTTCCCAGTGAAGAACTTACAGAAATAACCCAAGACACACGGCCACTTCGAACCAACTCTGCCTGGGCAATGCTTTGGAATATCTGGGTTGGAAAGTTGAATTTCGCCTGGGAGGAGAACCTCCCAGATGAGTCTGTTGGAAAAAAAAAAAAAAAAAAAAAGTCAGAGAGAACGCTGGGCCTCTCCAACCTCAGTCAAACAAGTACTGTGACTATCGAGAGATACTGAGGAAACAGATGTCCTTTGAGAAGGTATCTAGATCTAGGGACACAGACTGAAATATATGTGTACACGTACATATCAGCACCTAGCAAACCGGTGACATTAAAGAGATGTTCATTAAATATATCTGATAACTGTATGTGTATATATGTGGATGTGTACACAAACACACATGGACACACACATTATGGCAGGTTACTACGCACACTGGTTCACCAGAAAGAATTTATCCATAGGCTGCAAAGGATGCTTGCAATTTTCTGGGGAGCAGAGATGCTAAAACTGATGAGCCTTTTTCTTGTTTGGTTGGTGAAATTTCTCCCAGCCACAGGATTTTTCTCTACTTTGCAGCTCACAGTGCAGTATTCATGCCAATTTTCAATTTTTGTTATTAAATTTCAGTGATTCAAACATTTACTCATCTTGGTAAAAAATTTGGTTGTCCATATAAAATATAACTGCACACACAAGACTATAAACATTTGTACGTTTAGGTTTTCAGTATTTATCTACTTATTGCAAAAAGAGCCATCCTTTTTTTTTTTCTTCATTAAATAATCATCACATTAGTACAATACAATTTTATATTTTTTAAATATACTATATATGTTAAGGATAAGGGGTGAAGTTTTCTTCCTTTGTAATACCTGTTCAAGAGTTTAATGGATTAAGAGATTAGTTTTCACCTTGAGAAAAAAAAAAAAAAAGTACAAATTTGTCTCATTAGAATATTTCTACCAAGCATTTAAGGCTATATTTAACATTTGGCTTCAAAAAGAAAGAAAAGTTTCATTTAAAAAATAATTTAGTGAATTACATTCTTTCATAACTTCCACCCTAATTAGTTACAAAGATAAGTCTAAAGATTCTTAGTTTTGTGTACTAATTTACATTTATATTTAAAGATTAATTTTACTTGTATCTTAAAACAAGAATTTTATGTTGGAAAAAAAACAAAACAAAACCAGAACTAAATACATTTGTATAAAGGCTGTAAATGCCCCATGGCAAATGTTCTGTTTCAATTTTTTTTTTCCTACCACAATTAGAGACAGGTCTCTGCAGACAGAGACCCGGGTTCTTAAGGTTCACCTTTCCCGAGGAATTGTGTGCTGCGGATGTGAAGAACACATAGAAACCACTCAGATTTCTCTTTTTACAACTGTACCAGAACTTCACAGCTACAATGATAGATGAACACATGAAAAAAAAAAAATAATGACTTCACTCAAACAGGATTTAGAAAAGTCAGGGTGACCTCAGGGCCAGGGCACCCCCCTGTGTGGTGAGGTTTACAGTCAGTCATTCAATAATGGAGAGTGTGTGTGTGTGTGTGCACGTATGTGTGTGTGTGTGTATATACAGATATCTATATATATAAATAACCATGTTCAGTCCTTTACAAGCCTGTAAATATGATGTTGTGCTCCATGTTCACTATTTGAAACTTCAAATACACAGGCCATGCACAGGAGAGTTTCTTGTGTATCCCTGTTTGTTACCACCTGTTAAAAAAAAGAAAAAGTATATACTTACATATACACAGACACATAGAGGGAGAGAAAAACCCCCACATAGCAAACACGGTCCATCTGTGCCATGGCAACTAGGGTTTGCTTGGAGAGGGACGGCCTCAAGTTCAGCAGGGAGACTACTGCACACGTCCCAGCCTCATGCTGCCCCCCTCCAGTATCAACTCAGGATAATTAGGGATCTGACTTGAATCCTAGCTGAATCCTAGCTGAACTTAGTTACCATGTATTTACCATGTATAAGACATACCTTATGGACAGGGTCTCACCCCTAATTTGAGCCCACAAGAATTAGTTCGGGTTTTTTAGGAGGGTTGATTTCTTTACAACAAAGACCATTTTCTAGAATTCTATCCCACTAGACAGTCGTTTACCTTAGGAATTGCTTCCTATCTTATTTTTAAACTTTTACTAGATTTGTTTCACAACAGCTCACGAGAGATGCGAGCTCCACGAATACTAGCTCAGCACTGTTAACCAGCTGTGCTGGGACTCAGTACCCTAGACGCTGAGTAAGGCACAGTAGTAGAATCACATCAAATGATCCCGCTTTCCATGCACACAGGCTTTACCTTTCAAAACGTACTCTGAAACATTCATCTGCTTCCCCTCTTGGTTCAAGTCACTGGACTCCAGCTCTCTCCTCCTTGTGCCCGTGGCCTTAGCCTGCGTTCTTCCCTTGAGTGACCAGATCTGACCCAGGTCCCTGTGGCCCCTCCCCACAGGACCCTGCCTGCTTCCCAGAGCCGTTCTCAGAAGGAACTTTCCAAAAAAAGCAAATCTAGCCCACTTCCCCACAGTTTCAGTGATGCTGTTGTGTGTGTGTTTTGTCTGAAGACAGCTCAGTGTCTTCAAACACTGTGAATCTGAGGGCCTAGTCCAGCATGTCACTCCCCCCCGCCCCCGCACTATGGGCCGCTTCACCCATTCCATTTCCCTTACTCTCAAGGCATCCGAGTGTATGGCCCCTGACTGAAGAATACAAACTCACACACTTTTAACTGTCCCATCAGGGCACACAGTACAGTCTGTAAGTACACATAGATTTGTGTTTGTTTGTTGTTTTTTTTTTTTAACATCCATGTCATTCAGTGGGCTCTAAGTTCCTGAAGAACGGGGACCGTGTTTCCTAGTAACTAGCTTGGCACAAAACAGTTGTTTAATAAAAATGTGTGTGGAGGGGGGAGCCTGGGTGGCTCAGTGGGTTAAAGCCTCTGCCTTTGGCTCAGGTCACGATCCCAGGGTCCTGGGATTGAGCCCCACAGCAGGCTCTCTGCTCAGCAGGGGGCCTGCTTCTTCGTCTCTCTCTGCCTGCCTCTCTGCCTACATGTGATCTCTGTCTGTCAAATAAAAAAAAAAAAAAAAAATCTTAAAAAAAAAGTGTGGTAGGAATGAAGAGCGACATAATAGTCAACATACATTAACTACGTAGCGTACACCCGCTCGGTACCAACTGCTTCACACACTGTCTGGTATAATAGCACAACTTCATGAGTGGGTGCCCGGTCACCTCCCTCTGACAGCAAGTGAGGCCAGGGAGTGGCCCAAAGGGTACACAACTGTCACCGAAGAAACGTATCTCTGACTTCGAAGACCTTCTTCCCTAACCATGAAGCCATGCTGCTCTAGACAAATGAATGGATAAAGTAAGAGATTATTGACATTTTTTTTTCCTGGGTAATAAAGATTTGACTGAATACTGGTTCCCACCTCCTTCCTTCCTAGTCTTACTTCCTGCCCCTTCCCTCACAAATAGAAGACTCTAAGCATGCAGGCCTTCCATCCTGGAAATCTCTCTGTCCCTATTTATATGCAAAGAAATGCCATGCCTTGGGGCGCCTGGGTGGCTCAGTCAGTTAAGCGTCTGCCTTCAGCTCAGGTCATGATCCTGGGGTCCTGGGATCAAGTCCTGCATCGGGTTCCCTGCTTAGCAGAAAGCCTGCTTCTCCCTCTCCCACTCCCCCTGCTTGTGTTTTCTCTCTCACTGTGTCCCTTACAAATAAATAAATAAAATCCTTAAAAAGATAAAATAAGAAATGCCACATCCTGCTGTTCTTACCTCTGCAACAGTCCTTGATCCCATGCCCTCTACCACTGCCATGGCCCAGGGTACCAGCAAAGCACCTGGCCTCCCCCACAGGAGCCACCCTGCCCCTTCCTACTCCCGGTACACAGCAGCCACAAGGACCCTGTGAACAATACAACTCTGACAAGAATGCCCTCTTGCTTAACAACCCCCAGGGCCTGTATTCAACTTCCAAACTCTCCAGCCAGTAAGGCCCAGGAGCTCCGGCCCCATCTGGCTGCTCCTACCCAGCCAGCTCCCTGCTCCTTGCTTTCCTCTCTCTTTTTCCACACCAGCCACACCAGCCTATTTCTAGTCCTCCCACCTGTCTGCCCACCTGTGGTACTTTTCTCTACCCTCTTTGCCCAGTCATCTGGCAGGGATGCCTCCTCTATCTCTGCCTGAGGGAAGCCTTCTCTGACCTCCCTCCTCAGGTCAAATACTCCTGGCATCCGCTCTCTGGACACCATGTACCGCCCTCTGCCAGCTACCAGCCTCCATGTGGTTTACATCCATTTTGCGATTGCTTGAGGAGCGCCTGCCTCCCTCAGGGGCTTCCAAGATGGCTGTCCCCCACCCCCATCTAGTTTACATCTCAGCCCCTGACATGTAAGTACACACCCATGAGACAGCGCTTTTCTTGGTAAATCTGAAACATGTCTGTTTACCCATCAAGGCAACTTAAGCACCAGCTGTTTACATGCCTTGAGGACGCCCCATTCAATACTCTGTACGCCCAGGTGTCTGTTTCCCAAGGATACCACAGGCAAGCACTGTATGAATGTACTGTAACCACTTCTTCACCTGCCTCTTTCCCTGGAGCAGGCCAAGATTTGCTCTGGAATAGGCACTGTTTTGCCCGCACTGCACTCTGACAGCGATTATAATCTCTCCACAGTTTAGCTGAATGAAAGCAAATATTCTCAACAACCTCTGAGGTGGGGCATCTAGACGAGAGCATTTTGTTTATAAGTGGAGGAGGGAACTGAGTTTAGAGACGTTCAGCGACTTATCCAAACCAATGTCATTAAGTAGAGCTGCATCTTAAACCCCAGTCTTCTGACTGCGTGATCATGAAATAGCCGCAAAGTAGCTTTCCTATCCTTCTAAGTCTTTGTTTATGTCTGTCACCAGCTCTGTGACCTCAGAGAGGCCTAACACTCCTTACCCATAAAATGGGAATAAATATGACCTCATAGTCTGCAGTGAGAATTTCATAATATCACATTTACAAAGGATTTAGCACTGTGCCTGGAGCCTCCATGATCTGCCTTACCGTCTTGCAAACTCTCTAGGAAAGACTATGTTCTATTTATCTTTTTTAGCCTCCAGGCCCAGCACGAGGCTCGAACTCGTGACCCTGAGACCAAGAGTTCCCTGCTCTACCGACTGAGCCAGCCAGGTGCCCTGAATATGTCCTAGACTTCATGATTAAGATTCAAAAGGAGGAAAGAAAAAAATGTTTCTAGCAACCTGTATGTATGTGTGTGTGAATGCAATTCCAAAGACAACGGGAACACTTGGCCTGTAATTCGGTGACAGTCTTCCTTCAGTCTGTCTGGATATTGTCACTCAGGCTCTGCATTTACAGGTTCACCTCAATTTCTGTATCATCCTGTTGAAATCAAAGACTTTAGCTCACCGGCCAGCAGGGTCTGGAACTGGTCTTGCTGACACAGGCTTTGTAATCCAATACCTAGTAAAATGCCTGCAACTACGTCCAGCAGCTGTCATCCTGGCTGTGTTCCTACATCTCCCCCTGCCGCCCCCGAGGAAGAGCTGAAAAGAACTCTCTTTCCTTTCTCAATGAGTTGATTTCATTCCATAATCCAGGAGTGCTGGTATAATTTCAGCTTTTCTAAATGCTAAATTTCTAGCAAATATTTACTGAGAGCTACTAATTCATCACAGCAAAGGAATTTTTCTAGTTGCTTAATGATAAATTCTGGAATTAAAGTAATGCTCTCTCTGGATAGCCAGGCTGCTTGAAGTCACATGTTCAAGGAGAACTACTGATTTGGTCTCATGGATTTTGTGGCTAAACAGATGCTTTCAATTTCTTCCCGGCCTTCTTTTCCTCAGCTGTGCTCTGTGAGGCAGGGGTAGGGATGGAGGGCATAGTCCTTAAAATGCTGACACAGACTCAGAACTGGTTTGTAAGGACAGCTCAGACTGCTTCCAAGAGGGATGGGCTGGCCATTCACTCAGAGAGTTTGGGTGAATTCCTAAGGCTATTAACTGTCCACACCAAGGTACGACACACTCACCTTCTGCCCATCTGAGCACAAAGTCCCCTGTTCCTAACTAGCAACAGAAACCAGCCGTAGGTCAGGGACCCGCCAGCACCCCAAACCAGGATCTGCTCCGTTTTCACTAACAACCATTATAGAACAGGATACTAATCAATAACATTCTTGGTAAACAATACTAACTAACTAAACAATAACCTGTTCTTGGTAAAGAACAGGTTTTCCAAAGTTTCCCCCCAGATTGCTAGTCTCCTATGGACATGCCAGAGAATCCACCGGGATTCTCTCTCAGGAATAAATGAAAATTACAAGCACAATTATCTGTCAGCCAACTGTATGCCCATCACGCGTCTGTGGACTTGAGACTCCCCGCAGCTCACTGCCATCCCCCTGAGCCGCAGGTCTCAACTACCTGGGGAGCCATTAAAATAAAACAATGGCCATGCTGGGTGGGCCCTACCCGCCTCCCCCGAAGTTTTAAAAGCTTCCTGTGTGGGGATACCTGGGTGGCTCAGTCAGTTAAGCCGCTGCCTTCGGCTCAGGTCAGGATCCCAGGGTCCTGGGATCGAGTCCCACATCGGGCTCTCTGCTCAGTGGGAAACCTGCTTCTCTCTCTGCCTCTGCCTGCCACTTTGCCTGCTTGTGCTCTCTCTGACAAATAAATAAAATCTTAAAAAAAAAAAAAAAAAGCTTCCTGTGTGAATCTGATATGCATTAGGATTTTAATTTTTTTAAGTTTTGTTTATTCAGTTTTTATACTGTTGTGAGGAAACTGGGTCCCTCTGGCTCTGGAAAGTTAAATACGAAGGAATTTTATGAGCCGGACAGCCCACTGGTACCTCGAAATTGACCATGGAGGATGTATTTATACCACGGAAATGGGCAAATGCTAATAAATCAGGGTTTGGGGGGTGGTGGGGATAGTTGGGGTTTTTTTTTTTGCTTGTTTTTTTTTAAAAGTAGCACACCACTGATGGTGAACTCTAGTCGCCATGGGTCCAAAACCTCTGGGTAAAGAACTTCTGCTCTAAGTATTCTAGTTCTTAATCCTAGTAACAGCGTAACAAAGCAGGGCTTCAGAGGGCTGAGTATGTGACCGTGATACTGTCTTGTGCCCCTTTGAGCAATCCTGTTTCTAAGTTTTGTTTTGGAATTTTTCCTTCACTTAAGTCAAGGAATATTAATTTTTTTTTCAAAAATGAGCCTAATAAAACCCCTTACTGCATATTTTGTAGGCAGATTTTTGAGGACATTGCTGTTCTTATCACCTTCTTCCCAAGTATCCAAATGGAGCCCCGATGAGAAATTTGTTTTAAAGTTAAACATGAGGGGATCCTCCCTTACTCTCCAGCACTGACCAGGGGCACAGGAAACTTCTCCCATCATGGACTCTGGACACCAACCACTGCTTTTACTTTCCCTTTAGCTGTCCAAGCTTTGACCATACTCTTCAGCCTATGGGGACTATTTTCCGGTCATGACATTCTAATTTCCATTTCTTGTGGTGCCAAGGGTTTGTATTTTGCGATCATAGTGCGCATTACTTCTTATAGGGCCTTGCAATCCTTGGTGAAATGAGTCAAGGTGTATTTGAAGTACGAACCCACTGACTCAGTTTTTGTCTCATCTGCAATCTGCCTACTCGGCGGCTGGGACTCACGCGGGGCTGACACTGGAATGACCTAGAGAACGGTAAGTATTCACGCTCGGCTTCTCTCCTCAGAGGTCCTGATTTCGTCGATCTAGGATGCAGCCTTGGTGTCAGGCTTTTAAAAGTTTTAAAGTATTTTAAGAATTTCCCCATGCCTTTCTAACGTGCAGCTGAACTGACCCACCTGAATTCCAGTTTTCCTGAGCTTCAAAGAGCTTATGAGCCTCGCCAGATGAGACCCTGTCTCTTCTAGAGACTTGAGCCCAAGCAGAGCCCGAGCTTTTGCCCTGGGTGCTGTGGATTCAAATGGTGACCATCCCACAGCCTGCTCAGCACCCCTACACCCCTCCACCTTCCTGCCCCCTTCCCCTCCCGCGTCGGACTGCATCAGCCACAAGAAGAAAGAGGCAAAACAGTTACCAATAAGATCGTGAAGTTTTCCAAAACACTGTTCATCATGTATTTCTCTGGTAAGTGTTTGAGCTTGTGGATGAAGTTGATCATATATTCACACATTGGGGACCGGTTTATTCGGTACACAAATCGGCCGTTCTCAAACCTTGCATACTCCGTCTGTGAGGGGAGAAAGGAGTTGAGCACGTTTACACTTTGGACTTCAAGATACATGAAAACGCTGTTGCTGCCTTCAAAAGCATTTTTCTTTTCCTTTTTCAACAGAAGTCATCTGCTAGATGCTGTTGTACTAGTTACACAGTGTACTTATTTTAAAAGAAATCCTATCTCCAAACTTAATGCCATACTCAGAAATCCATTACTTTTCTGGGAACTTGAAAAAAAAACAAAAAACAGTGGAAACAGGATAGCTTTAGAGAAGGGTTGTCTAGGTCAGAAAGAAAAGAAAGCAAAGGTCAGAAAGAAATATAATCACCTACTTAGTGATTTTCTGCCTGGAAATCTGGGGGAGCAAGGCCCAGCCAATTACAACTCTTCAAAGAGCCCAGAGAAAATCCTCCCCCACTGTTATAAGGCCTCACAGACCAACGACTTTGGCAGCTAATTTCTCTACCTCAGGAAAAACTACTTCACACTGATCACGAACTCTTGACTGTGAGTGATTTATGTTTTTAATAAACATGGAAAAGAAAGAAAATACGGGTATGGAAGATCCCACGGAAACACTCAGAAATAAGAGACACATCCCTAGACAGTCTTGGATCAAAGAAGAATTAAAAAGGAAATTACAAACTATCTCAAAAGTAATGAAAAGGGAAACACTTGACATCAAAACTTAGGGGACCTGATGAAGCTCTACTTGGAGGAAACTTAACGAAGCAGTTTCATGAGTTCACAATTAAAGGTAAAAAAATTATAGAACTAAACCATGTCTGAAATTAAAAAAAAAAAAGAAACAACAACAAAAAACCCACAAAATAAACCCAAGCCACAAAGAAACCAAAGGAAACCAGGAATAGGAAATTAATAAAGATAAAAGCTCAAATAGATGTTAACAGAGATAAAAAATGTGGGCAGAATAAATTAAAAAACTGGTTTCTTTAAAAAGTCAAAACAAAATCAAGCCTTCACAAGCTTAACTGAGAAAAGAGACAAAACCACAATTACGGGAGAGATCGGAAGATCTGTAAAAGGTTACCTCGTGTAACTGTAAGGCAATAAAGCCTAGAGGAGAGGATGACTTCCCAGCAAAGTATGAATTACTAATATTGAACCACGAAGGAGAAAACTCCAGTAGGTCCCTTATGGTGGAGGTGACCAAAAAATTGTTGAGAGACTCACCACGGAGAAAGGTACAAAGACCAAATTGTTTCACTGCTGAGTTTTATGCAAATCTAAAAGAATAATTACTCTTATTGTTATGCAAACAATGCCAGGCCGCAGAAATAGGCAGGTGTCCCAATTCTTTTTATGAAACTAAGGGACATAAAGAGATTAGAAAGAGGAGTGTCCTAGTATCACTTAGGAGATGCTAAAATCTTATGTAGAACAGCCAAGAGAAGAGTCACCGCGTCCAAAGCAGGACTTTCTTCAGGAATGTTGTGGTGGCTCCTACATGGGATGGGTACAAACTCATGATGCCCACAACTTGGAGAAAAATCATGTAAGAGATGCTGAAAAGGCATTTGATAAAATATTGCAGCTGTTACTAATAAAAACCCTAGGTACAACGGGAAGAGAAAGAAAGCACCTAAATACAAAATAAAGACCACTTACACAATCCAACAGTGAACGTATATAACCCGAAATGGTAAAACACCAGAAACAACTCTATGGGCAGCAGTCACCACTCACCGGCCTACTTCTTTTTATGACAATGTTGGAGGTTTTAGCAAATGGAAAGAAGGTGAGAAAATAAGCAAAACAGAAAAGGTGGCAAAAACATCGGAAAAGAGAAGATGAAATAAAGCCTTCTGTTTTTGCTGCTGCTATGAAAATACACATAGAAAATCCAAGAATCCAAGGGGAGAAAAAACTACTGGAGATAATAAATAAGAGAATATGGCAAGATGGCCAGGTAAAACATAGATAAGCAAAAACCAAGAGCTTTCCTCTCTTCTTGTAATTAAAACCCAGAAATAAGAAATTGCATTAACGAATTATATACTATTTAGGAATACATTTAACAAAAAAGGGATAAACCTATACGTAAAAACTATAAAATCTTATTAAGATAAATGAGATAGAAATGCAAATAGGTTCTCAACTGGAAACATTTAGTATTGGTATCAATTTATCCCAAAATAATGTCTAAATCTAGTACAATTGTACTAGATTGATCAAGCGAGGATTTCGGTTTTCTTTACTGTTGTTGTTTTTTTTTTTTAAGTGATCTCATTTTTTTGAAGAAGAAATGCTGTTTACTAGCCTAGAAAATATATGGAAAACAACAGCCAGATTGACTTGAGCCTGCAGAGCAATGTGCTATAAAGCCACTGTAATCAAATCAACATGGCACTGGGACGCTGTTGAGATAAACAGAGGGGGAATCAGGGAGACTTTAGGAATGGCTCCAGGGATGTGCGGTGACTTAAAGGACACAGATCTCAGATCTACTCAGTGGGAAAAGAATGAATCACGTAATAAATGGTTTTGACACAAACGCTTGTGTACTTGGAAGAAAACGGTAGCAGATGCCCATCTCACACCAAACGGGGAAGTACATTCTAAGTGAATTAAAAGCTTATAAACTCCACCTGCCACACTCACACCACCTTCTCCATGAAAATTCCTGGGCCTTCATCAGCCAAAGGCAATCTTTGCCTGCTCCCTGAACTTACAGAAGACTTTGGGTCTGTTACTGGAGGACACGACGGGGGCGGGGAGAAGAGTTTAGAATCTGGGACACTGAGTCACTTGTCCGGTTTGTCTTGTCCAGGCAGGAGGTCCAGCTCAGGTGAGGCCTGACAGTGGGGCTACCCAGCAGCCATGCCGACCTGGAAAATTCTACATTCCCAACCACTGAGTGGTAACTGTGCTCCCTCCTCCTCCAAGGATCTGGGAGGTCATCTGGGCTGCAGGCCTCACGAGCCTGTCAATGATTACATGGCCACCTTCTTGCCTACCCCCTCCTTGGGCTTCCCAGACATGCACTGAGCTGGCTCCCCTCCTCTCACACCCATTTTTGTCCTCTGCCGCTGTCTCCCTTTTTGCTCACTCCAGGGCCGGCTACTGCTCCCCAAATTGAAACCCTTATTCTCTGCTGCTATTTGCTCTCTGCACCTAGTTCTCCATTTCCAAAGTCTCAGTGATCCTGAACGCTCAGGATTTCCCATCAGTATTCTCAGGCTTCACCTGTCTTCCAAACTCTCATCTTGCATCTGGAATCATCCCGATTGTGTGCTCCTGAGGACCCTCCTTTCTTATCTCTGTTGGTGGCAGCACTGTCCTTGCAAACACAAAACGTGGGACCTCTGACTCTTCCTCCTTGTGGGTTTTTAATATCCAGTGAGTTTCTAAGTTCTATTCAGAATATCTTACTGGATTCCCTCTGCTACCATTTCAGTGGAAGCCCAGGATGCCTCGGGTCCCGTCAACCATCTAGTCAACTCTCTTCTATCCTCTCTGGCTCACTGTCACCCCCTCAACACCATTCTAGGGAGGCCCAGTCTGTGCTCAGGAAGCTACAAGGGCCACGACATCCCAGGTCCTCACTGTTCGGCCCCAAGTCTTAACGCCCTCATGCTCGCTCCCGCTCTCCTGCCCATCGCCTCTGCTCTCTCCCATGCCCTGGCATGAAGTCTGCCACACTGAGCCTAGGCTCTGGGACCTGCGAGCTCCAGGACCACCGTGAACCAAAGCTGCTTGCTGCACATGGACTGACTAGAGGACGGGCAGAAGACACTGAAAAATTCAACTTTACATGGAATGTCAACTGTAAGACATCAGTCACACAAAGCAACCGCCCTGGTAAAAAAAAAAAAAACAAAAAAAAAAACACACTTTTTTGACAGGGAGGGAGGCCATGAAATATAAAAAGCTGTAAACAGGTATTTGACCCCAGTATGTGCTGTCATCTGTTTAAAAGGATTAAAGGAGTGGAAAGGGCAAAAGCACCACCACCATGTGAGATGTCTGAGCTTTACAGAAGGCAGGTGGCTTATCAGCTGAATTCCACCCCGGTTGTAACCTACAATATCTAGAAGTGCCCTTGGACCTGGGGTGGGAAGGACACCATCCAATGGATGGCAGGGCCTGTCTGCCCCGCTTCCACACTGCCCCCACACCCCACAACACCTCGGGGGGGGGGGGACTGAATGCTGCTGGCCACACAAGGCGGGTAACCGCGGTCAGGGAGGGCTGGGGTAGACCTTCCTCTCCCTATCTTCTTCCAGGTGCTTTCAGATCGTTCTGTCTTTTTAGAGGTAACAGGGGAAAGAGGTGGGAGAAAGGGAGAGGAGCAGATGCCAGAGGAAGTAAAACTCTCCGCCCCAATGTCAAGCCGACAGGAAGGCAACAGTCTGCCCTTGAATGAAGATTCCGCTGGACAGATGCCTACTTACCTCTACTTTTTCTACTACTTGCTTCCCAAAGGAGCACACTTTGGTGGAACAGGTGACTGTCATATTTTCAGAACTCTCATACTGACTGGTTACACCGTAAAAAGCCCCGGCATCGTCCTGAATACTGCAGTTTAGGTCGGCCTGTTGGGAAGGAAACGGAGGTTATCCTCTCATGGCCAGAGGCATGGCAATAAGCAGGACCGGGGACCGGAAGGCTGGGAGACCTCTGACCACTTGGGCTGAGTGGAGGGTGGGTGTGGCTCGAGGAGGTGGGGAAGTGACGCTCATCCAGAAACAAGTTCCATGGCCTGCTGGGTCAGTGTTTGAAGAGCTTGCTAACTCCAGCAGTCGCCCTGGCACAAAGGCCAAGCGACACACATCTATTTCAATTTGCTTTCTTGTGTTCAGTGTAGACTAGTACTGTATCCTTGTTATAAAGATCCGTGAGGCCTCTGAGATGTGTGCAGAAAGGAGTGCAGAATGGACTTCACAGTCACTAATCTGCAGATATACTTAAAGATTTTGTTTATTTATTTATTTATTTATTTGAGAGGGTGGGGGAGAATAGTGGAGGGAGGGGGAGAGAATCTCAAGCAGACTCCGAGATAAGCACAGAGCCTGACACTAGGTTCAATCCCAGGACCCTGAGATCACGACCTGAGCCGAAATCAAGAGTCGGACGCTTACCTGACTGGGCCCCCCAGGCACCCTAATCTGTACATATATTTAAAAGAACAGATCTATAGCTGACTGGCCACTTATTAATAGATGTGAAAACAAACTTTATTACAAATTACAGCATCCAGAAGGGAAATGGCTCCTAGAAAAAACTGGTTTATAAAGATGCTAAATAATTACTATTTCCCACTCATTTAAGGTATTTGATGATTACCTACTATGTGAGGTTCATGCTAGACACTATACAGAACTACAGACAGGAGCTGTGCACATAAAACAGCTGTAAGAGACAGAAACAGTACCACATCAAAGGTGCTCAGAGTCCAGACAATGGAAGGCATGACTTTTAGCCAGGGGTATCGCTTATGGGATGGTTATGATGTGCAGAGATGGGTTGAGGAGACACTGGGGGCAGAAGGGACCTCGGGTGCCTCCTTCTGCAAGGACTAAGGCCACTGGGAAAAGTGAGTTTGGAAATGCAGCCAAGACTCGAGTTATGAAGGGCTGAAAAAGGGGTGTGGATCGCATGCTGCAGGAAGTAGGGACCCTTAGAAAGTTCTGGCACAAGGAGGTGATGTGATCGGAGCTGTGTTTCAGGGGCAGACGTCTCAATGTGGTGTAGTGTCCACTGCAGAGGGAGGCTGGGAGGCCACAGCAGTGGCCAGACCACTGATGGATGGTTCCCTCCTCTCCAGTACCTCCTGATCTGCTCTTCCCCACGAGGCACTGGTATGGGGCCGGGGGTCCCAGACTGAGCAAGACCTGGGCCGGTCCTTACTGCCGAAGGCTTGCAATTGAGTGGGGAAGACATCACCATTTGGACGAGCTATCCTGAAAGAGGCACAGAGGGCCACGAGAACCAACCTCAGGGTTCAGGTAGTTTCCAAGGATGAGGCAGCTCAGATCCAAAGGAAGAAGCACTGACCGGGGCAGGTGGATGTGCCCTGAGTGTGCACAAAGGGCACATAACTAGAAACCAGGCCAAGAAAAGGTTGGGATCGAGGGAGCGGGGAGAGAGGGTGGTAGGAGGGTTTGGGTCTTAGATCCTAAAACCAAGGAGCTTTAAGTGCACAGGAGGGACCCAGTGACAGGTTATGGCTGGATCTGCGTTCCTAAGAGGAACTGTGGGCACGGCACGGAGACGACTCTGAAAGAGTGAAAGCACAGGCAAGGGACAGATCAGAAGGTTGACGGTGCAGTCTGGACAAGGACTATGGGGACTGGAGAGGGACGGGGGACCTGCCGCACAATTGTCTGGAACATTCCACCAGCTGATCTTAAAACCTTGCCGTGCACTAGCCACTAGGTAGGCCTGAGTCATCCTAGATGTATCTGTAATAAGGGTCTACATCTGAATTTCCTTCTTGAATTGAGTATCAAGAAAATGTCCCTTTCCCGAGGCAAAACTTCGTATTTTCTGGCTTCAAATAAAAAGAACCATAGGCTTTATATTCCCCCTTTTTCCCTTCATGCCAAGAAATTCAAAGCTAAATTCAGTGCCCAACTACAGTAATTACCTATCCCAAGGTATTTCTAATAGCTACTAACAACCAGTGTAGGGCTCCTTTTACTGGATTATGATCTGCTTTTACTTGTCCTTGTCCACTTTTCTATTGCCCGTAAAGGTAGTAACACTCCCTGACATTCTGCCTTTGGGAATTATATGGAGCACAAATTCTAAATAAATATAAATACCCAGGTGGACATGTTTCTCACATTCAAGGGTTTGAGGTCAGCTCCACGAAGAGCAGAGTAGCAAGCAGTGGTGAGTCCGAGCCTGACTGCGGTCTGCACCTGTGCTCCCTGGGGTCTGCTGAGCCCCAGCCGCCAGGGGAGAAAGTCACCATGGGTCCTCAGCACCCAGGAGCTCTGACCCAGCATCACACCCAACTTTCCAGGGCAGCCGCCACCGGGCATGTACTGGGGGTGGACCTTCAATGGGCGCCCGGGGTGGCGGAGTCAGTGAAGCATCCGACTCGGTTTCAGCTCCGCTGGTGAGCTCAGGGTCATGGCACTGAGCCCTGTGTTAGGCTCTGTGCTCAGCGCTGAGTTTGCTTAAGAGTCTCTCTCTTGTCTCTCTCTGAGCTCCGCCCCACCCTCAGCTCCTCTCTAAGAAATAAATCTTAGAAAAAAAAAGAGAGTAGGCTTTCAAGAACCACTGTTTTGGGGGTGCCTGGGTGGCTCAGTGGGTTAAGCCTCTGCCTTCGGCTCAGGTCATAATCTCAGGGTCCTGGGATCGAGCCCCACATCGGGCTCTCTGCTCAGCGGGGAGCCTGCTTCCCTCTCTCTGCCTGCCTCTCTGCCTACTTGTGATCTCTGTCTGCCAAATAAATCAATAAAATCTTTAAAAAAAGAACCACTTTTTCTGCTTCATTCCACCACCAGCTGGCAACACAGGCTCTGAGAAACAGCTCAGGTACTTTTCAGGAGTGAGATTTATGCTCGTATAATTCCGGTATAGCTTGTGCCAATAAGTTTTTGTTTTTATTTTCTTAAAAAACCAAGAGCACACACGTGGTAAGCAAAAAAAAAAAAAAGGCAAACTGGAAAAGAGTGTACATTTTATTTGTACTCCCAAACTTGCTAACCTCCCTACTGGTGACCCGTGTTAACTGTCTCCCAAGTGCCCTTTAGGAGTTTGTTAGCATTTATACATATAAGCATAACAGATCCCCTCTTTTTTTGCACAAAAAGTACTCTCTGAAACCTTGCTTTAAAATATAATATATAAATATAAATAAATCTCTCTCTCTCTCTCTCTCTATATATATATATAGCTACATCCCAGAACTCATACAGAACTGATATGGAATATCAGTTTTAAAAAGAAAAGCCATTTAAAAACGTAGGCAGCTCCACATTTTAGTGGCTGTATACCCTCCCATGACACAGATGCACCCTCAAATAATTCCTACATGTTCTACTGATGAACATTTTGGTGCTTCTCAACACGGATGCAATAGTGAGTTTAGGTGCAGCAGGAAAGGTACACTAGAAATTCCTTTCCCTTTCTTTCAAACTTAAAAAGTTGCCAGCATTGAAAGGGCTTTAGAAGGCCATAAACAAACAGTGACTATTTAAACAAACTCATTATTTATTTATTTATTTATTTTTTTAATCTTATTTACTTATTTTTAAAGATTTTATTTATTTATTTGACAGAGAGAGCGAGAGAGCCTAAGTAGGCAGAGAGGCAATGGAGGCAGAAGCAGGCTCCCTGCTGAGCAGAGAGCCCGATTTGGGGCTCGATCCCAGGACCCTGAGATCATGACCCGAGCCGAAGTCAGAGGCTTAACCCACTGAGCCACGCAGGTGCCTCTCATTTTTTTTTTTTTTAAGATTTTTATTCATTCATTTGTCAGAGAGAGCGCACGCACACAAGTGGGGGAATGGCAGGCAGAGGGAGAAGCAGGCTCCCCGCTGAGCAAGAAGCCTGATGCAGGACTCGATCCCAAGACCCCAGGATCATGACCTGAGCCAAAGGCAGATGCTTAACCGACTGAGCCACCCAGGTGTCCCTAACAAACTTACTATTTTTGACACAACCAAGTTGTTTTGCAAGCCTGGTAACCAGTCAAAAGCAGTCTGGTGTTTTTGGTGTGAGGGGGGTGGGAAGGAGCATGGGATGAGGGGTCAGCAGGGGAGGCCACAGAACAGGTTATTTCTTTTCAACTAATCCAGCCCCACTTGCATCAGTAATAGAACCAGGAGGGAGGTTTCTTCAGAACGGCGCCTCAGGTCCCTAGGCACAGCGCTTTCTTTTCCACCCTTTGTTCAAATGCTCCATTTTTTACTTTCTTCACTTCGGTGTTACGACCAACGACAACTAACTCAGACACTTAAAATCTGAAGCAAGCATGGAAGTAAACAGACAAAATCATCCAATCTTCTACACAATTGGAAAACGTGAATGAAGTTTAGGAATGGCATTCGCCGTAAAGTGATGTTAGCGCAATCGCTGGAAATGTCCAGCCTCCCACGCTCCCATCCCTCTGGGTTTCCAGGCCTCAGTGACGTGGCCAAAGCAGCTGTCCCATGGCAGTGGCACAGTGTGTAGACACCATGAGACTGGATTCATTTTTAAGACCTTCTTTTCCCTATTCGACAAAATTATGTACAGTAATAACCAGCGCTCTATTTCATGGTTTTGAACTTTAAACACAAAAACTCCCAAAGTGGTAATAGAATGACAGGACTGCAGTAACCTAAGCTCTGTTTTCCCATCTTCCTAATGACGGGGCCACCACGGCAGATCCCCCCATGTACTGTTTAACCGCGGGAAGTTCAGGGGCTGCAGCTCCCGGGATTCCAGGAACAGACCCAAGGCCAAGCCCACGTGTGTTCTTGAAGAGTAACACACATAGTGGCTAAGGAACAGAAGTGTGCTAATCTGAAGCAGATATATGTGCATATATGAAATAAAAATGTTAACTTCAACTGTTCAGGACTCGGGTCAACAAGAT